CCCCCCCCCCCCCGCCACCCCGCCTCCCTCCCTAAACCCCTCCCTACGTCCCTCTGTACATCACTTCCTCCCTCCCTCGATCGGCAACTCGTAGACGCCTCCTGCGCAAGACTGTTTTTAGCCTACTTACCGTCGTAAGTTATGGCGGTAGCTTAGAGTACAGTAAACGTTCACTTACCTACAGTACTCACTGGTATAGTTCAACACTTGATACGCGTATTTATCTTCGGGTTTGCCTCTCAAATCGTAGGTATCAAAGTCTGATATGTTGAAGTAGGACAAACGGTTTTCCACGTAACCCACAAGCGTGTTGTCCGTTGTGTAGGAATATCTGTAAACGATTCTGGGGATAAAGTCTGAAGTGAACGCAATCACAAATGCGTTTACCAGGACTGACAGGCTTGCAATGGCTTCCATGATGCGATACCAGGCGCCGATGTCTTGAGCACGCTTGGCGATGGGGCGACGAAATTGGCAGACAAAGTTTACAGCGTCAACCCGCAGCTCCAAAGCGCTGTTAAGCAACGCGAACAGAGGGGCGAGAGGAAAGGCAGCTACAAACATGGTCACAAAACCGAACTGTAACACTGGAGCAAGAGAGAAAAGCAAAGAGTTTTTCAGCATAAACGGCGCAATTCTAAATTGCAAATTGCAGCACAAGAGTAGCATTATTTTAGCAAATTGCTTGAGCTCAAGAGTATCAGTCGTTCAAATACTGTAATTGTCCGGGCTAGGGGAANAAATTGCAGCACAAGAGTAGCATTATTTTAGCAAATTGCTTGAGCTCAAGAGTATCAGTCGTTCAAATACTGTAATTGTCCGGGCTAGGGGAAGTTCAGAAAGAGCTTTGTTTTGGTAACAGACGTCTGGGTAGCCTGAAATGTTATTCATCTCCCGCCCTTAGCCTAATCCCTGGTAGACTACGAGCAGTCTCACTCGTCTTCCGACGCCCGCGCTACTAGCAGCTCGCGGCATTGCCGCTGGCACGCAACGCTCACAGTCACGCTTGGACGCTTGTTTGCGTTCTTCCCCATGGATTTTCGAGGAAAAGAGAGACTTCTCGCAGTCTAAATCTCCGGGCGATTAGGCTGAGGGCGGGGGATGACTGACATTTCAGGCTAACGTCTGGGCAACCGGAGCGAAAGACGTCTTCCCAGTCAATCGTATGCCTTCACTGATACACGAAACTCAAATATCTTGGTTAGCCATTTAAATTGTTTTACTCGGCTGATAGTTTTGGTAATCATGCTCAATCGAACTTAATGGATTAGATACAGGATTCTCAACTCGTTGATAAACTGGTTCATCAAGTTTAAACATGCAAAGGAAATCATGACCGTAACGGTGTCTAGATATCAAATCTTTAAAAAGCGCAGATTTTTACCACTTCATTTCCGCGGTTCTCCTTGGTTTCAGTTTTCATTGAGAAGAGATAACAAACACTCGAGACAGTATTTGACTACAGTTCCCCAAAACCTCGAAGTTCGTCAAAAATACTCCGCTGCGTGTCGTATTTTCAACGCTCTTCTCGGTGTTTGGAAATGTCGCCAAACACGTTTTTGATATTATACTTCAACACCGTGCGGTAAACGTAAAAACTGATCAACTTCTGGACCAGGAAAAACCGTAGTTTATTTCTAGAAGTTAACTGTAAGGAACAATAGAATCTTACCAACTTCCAAGTATTCCCAAAACATGTGATGATCAGGCAGAGCGCTCAGTTTGTAATCTTCTTCCCACTGAGGAATCTCCATTGCTTCCTTCATGGCTTGGCGCAGCTTCCACCACTTCATCAGCCCGCTAGGTAACAGTGAGAACAAAGTCAAAGATAAGTATGAGCTCCAGTACAAAAAAAAAAAGTTCAAATGTTGTTGTTTACAGCGGTCAACGTGCTTAGCTACACCTCACTGACGGGCATGTCACTTACATTGAAAGAAAGAAATATATCAAATATATAAACCTAAAAGGCTTAAAAATCCCAGGCTCTTTACAAGCGTGACCGAGGAGTTGAACTAGGGTCTGCCGAGAAGCAACTCGGCTAAGTCACTGGTCAGAGCGGGACTTGAACCCGCGATCTCCGGATTTCAAGTCCGGCGTCCTAACCACTCGGCCACACTGCCTCCTCTGTCTTTTAGAAAGCTCTGTCACTGAACTGCCAGGCTTAAGCTTCCTCAGCTGCAAGCGTCTTAGTTTTGGTCTATTGTTACTTCATAGGTGTTTTTCTACGTAATAAAATTATTAGTCGAGTTCTCCTTCGTTTGGAAAGAGATATTTTGCTTTGAAAGTCCTTCATTTTGAGTTGTTATTTTTTGCTGTTGCTTTTGTCTATTACGCCCTCTCTGTTATGTCCTTGTGAAGAAACTTAAGCTATGAAGGCAACAAAAGCAATAAACGCGAATACCTTATAATCCAGTTCTATGCATGTATGTACATGTATGTTACATATAATACAACGTAAATGACATCAAAACTATAAATTAGGTGACTTTGACGAAATAATGTGTTTATTTACTTTTAAAAAAAATCGACGTTATTCTTAAGGTTTTTTTGTGTACTTTCTGTTATGTCCTCTGCAAATGACACAACAACGACAACAACAACGACAACAACAACAACAACAACAACAGTGCATTCAAAATTCACCACAGAGACCAGACCTGCTGGTCAGTACTTACGGGATAGCTACTTCAGTGACGTTGCCAATGACCTGCTGGCCGATCATGATAATCGCCAACTGAATGCAGAGATCAATCATACAGCCCGCAGCTCCACAGCCGTCCAGTCGATATCCTCCACTGCCTCCAAATCGCCGATAGTTGCCCGGTGTACCTATCACCAGATTCAACTTGAAGAAGGCGATGTAGAAAATGGATGAATAAGTGTTGACGAACTGGAACAGGAACATCTTGTAGGTAAAGCTGTCCTGGTAATCGGTTTCTGTTCGCGGGTTTTCCCAATTCGTCAGCCACAACGCCAGTTTCTCATAGAAGAACTTTAACAGGTTGATGAAAACCTGAATGGAAAAAAAAAGGAAACAAAAAACAAAACAAGAAGACCATTGTGACAAACCGCCTCATTTGAAATGAAGCGAAAAGGAATCTGGTGTCAAATCTAGTGTACATGTTCTATACTTGACCAAAGTTCTTGATGACCTGAACGAGCAAGGGCCGCACCCAGAAAAAAAAAAAATAAAGCAATGACTGAGGCAGTGTCCATGAAAAAATTATGACTGAGGCAATGTCCATGGTTTGATTCTCTTCCTAGGTATTAAAAGTGTTTATGATGAATATGAACAGAAAAAACAAAAAGTATTACTAAGGCAATTGCCTCGGTTTGCCTGTACCAAGCTATGGTCCAGACGAGGTTTTTTATGCAAACATATATCTTTCTGACAGTCACTGAAACTAATACTGGGAACTCAAATTAAAGCTGAGGAAATTGAAGAACGATGCCTATACAGACTCGACTACCACATTAATAAAGAAGCACATAGAAAGTCGGTTTAAACCTCACCAAGTTCAACAAGGCTGCCGTTACACTAGTGATAAACTTGGCATTACTGCGTGTAGATGGCGAGGAACTACCCACTAAAGATCCATACACCGAGGCCCTGTACACGACCACGCCCACCACAGCTGCGATTACTAGGAGTATCATGAACGAGATGGCGCTCCCCACCCCGGCGAACCTCTGGTATCGAGTCATCTTGGGAATGTGGGGGACCATCTTGCCTGTGATGGGATCCCTCCGCCAGGTTGGCGCAGTGGCGACAAACTCCGGGCGAAACTGCTCCTCGACATCTTCAAAATGCATCATGTGCCATTTGTAGGCAAGGACAGCTTGACGACGCTTCCAGAACTCCAGAAAAACCGTCGCCCAAACCGACATGAAGACGGCGAAGACCACCGTGGAATCGTTATCGAACGCGTGGGTTGCAATGGAGTAGTAGCAACTTGAAATCAGCGACCAGTAAGGGCACTGAGCATCACACAGAGGGCACATGTAAAAGATTTTCTCGTTTGACTTGTTACACACATCTATCACAGGCTGGAAGCTGCGTGCGTTGATGATGCCGTACAAGAAGACAACGAGCCCAAAAATAGCAGCAGGGATCAGCATGATGGTGTAAAAACCAAGCCAGGAGAAGTACAAGCCAATTTCAGTGCCAAAATAATCCTTGATGGCGTCGTATGGTTGAAACTTGAACCAGCGTCCAAACCGCGCCCAGTCACGTCTCAAACGCTGCCTGTCGTTAGTGGGCGGTTCGCCCTCGGGACTTTCTTCGGAACCGGGATGGAGCGGGTACGCTGCTGTAATGCACTGATCATGGATCAGCCTCCTGACCCCGACGTCATATCTCTCCTCACTGAATCTCACTTTGCTGCAGATTTGTTCCACCATGCGGCTTCGCTCTGTTTGGCTGAAGAACGTGTCCTTGTTTTGGTGACCGACATAAATTTCTAAGCGATCCCTCTTAAAGTAGCCCATGAAGTAATTGCGGCTTCTGATGATGGAGGGGTCTTGAATTTCGAACGGGTTGTTGCGAGCAATCATGTCTCGTATGCCTTGCCCAACGTGTTTTTCGTACCAGTTTTTGGTCTGGATGTCACTTTCCTAAATGACGAAAAGTAGATAAAATGACAAATAAATGACTGACCGTTTGTCTGCCTGCCTACCTGCCAACCTGACCGACTCATCGACGGACCGAAACGACCGACCGACCTATCGACGGCGGACGAACTGGCCGACCGACCGACCGACCGATGGACCGGCAAATGGACCGATAGACTGTTCACAGTCCCCTATTTTTCCGTACGATTGTAGATGTCGATCGTTGAGCTCGACGGGCCGTCATCTTGGTCTCTTGATGCGAGCGAAACTGGGGAGAGTACAAAATGCCCGTGGGTAGTAGCGGTGGGGTTAATAGCGTGGGGGTGACGGCTAGCCGTGCCCTCCACCACCCCTACCCACCGTCATTTTGTACTCTCTCCAGTTTCGCTTGAATCAAAAGACCAAGATGGCGGCCCGTCGAGCTCAACGATCGACATCTACGATCTCACGGAAAAATAGGGGACTGTGAACAGTCCAATGGACCGACAGACAGACGGACGAACGGACAGACTGAAAATCAACGTATAAAGAGATGAAGGAAGGAAAGAAAAAGGAGATAAGAAAAATGAAGAAATCGGAAAGAATGCAGAGCAGAGAAGGAAAGATGGAAAAAGGGGGTTATGATCGAAAGAAGGTTTTTAAAAAAACATTTTAAATTTGTCCAACCTCAGTGCAAACATATCAAACGTGATGAGATCTGGCCTCGAAATAAAATGTTACCTTTATAGGCATCTTCATCATGATGTCCTCTGCAGTCTTGCTCAAAGTGTCCCATGGAGCATGAATTTTCCAGAAATGAGTCTTTGTCTTGTCATCCTATCAAATATTAACACAAAATATATATTGTACTGGTAATGACATCATTATTTGCCCAAAGCGTGTTCAATTTTTTTTTTTACTTATCATTATTTTTTTCACAGCTATGAAGCAGTAAAGCCTTTCCCCTGGTTTTGACCGACCAGGGGTCCGTTTCTCGAAAGTCCTGATGCATTTGAAACTTGCTAGGGCCCATTCTCGTCCCCAGAGGCTGCGCTCCTTTTCGTCAGCACCAAAAGGAGCGCGGCCTCTGGGAACGAGAATGGCTAGGGCTAACCCACTTTTTGCGCTCAGTTCTTCCTTCGCCTATGGAAAAGAACCAAGCAATTTTCCTAGACAGGGACTTCAGTAGTACGCTACTTTTCTAAAAGCAAGCTAGAAATAAATAAAAGGTGAACAGTCCCTCGATTCAGGTTTCGCTAACATTGCTCGGTCACGCTTGATGGTAGAGCCACAGCCTCCTTGATTATTTGGCGAGAGAAATCCGTGATGAGTACAGACCTCCCGCCAAAATGGCGGCGGTTCCCCTGGATCGAACGTGACGGCTGAACAATTCCAGCCCAAAACATGGATAGACTGTTTACAGAGCGAGTTAAAAAGGTCAGTGTTATGCTATTTACACGCCATAAGAGCGCATTACCCTTATCAGACGCAAAGCAATAGAGGTAGAAAATTCAACAAAGTAAACAATGGAAATATGTTGACTGTGAAAATAATAATCGAAACTTAACCACAGAAAATAAAATGCCCTCTCTGCAATTAATCTGTACTGGGCGTTTTAGTGGCATTTTCGGGATTCTTAGACTCTCAAATTCCTCCAGCATTGCATATACCAAAGAATATATATATATTTTATAATTGTTATTATTCTTTATATACTCTGACTATACATTTTTAAAACATGTCGTTGAACTTCGCTGGATCACAAAAAACCCAACACAAACATGAGGATTTTTTTAAACGAAAATTCAAGATATTTTTGGAAGTATTCCAAGATGAAGTCAAGAAACGTATATTATTGGGAAAGTGTGAAATTTCTTATACGGCTATGAAGACGCGAATGAACAAACAGATTGCGTGACACAACAACAAAGAAATTTGAGTCATGTAAATTTTCGTCTTGCGGTTAACAAACCATGAAAGGCGTGTAGAAAGAACGTCTAGTAAATTCGTAAACACGTAGAGCAGTCTTGGACATAAACTTAATTGAACAACCGACTTTCCCTCTCAGTCAAGAAAATAAGATTTCATGGTCAATGTCTGACTGTAAACATCTTTGTCTAACGGACAGGAGGAAACAGACTAAATTATTCAAAAACTGTGAAAACGTGTGCGAGAAATGAATAATTTTTTTTGGCTCAATCAGGGATTTACGAGAAAAAGTACGCCGCATATTTTTTTAGTAAATTGGAGCAGGTCACTGAACAAAGACAATACTTTGTCCGTCATACGAAGGAGCTTTTTTTATCGTTGTTACAGGTAGAATAATCCACTCCCTATTAAAAATACGCTTAAACCTGGGGTCAATATTGGGAAATATTGGAGGGTTCGTACCACAAAATACCGAATACAAAAACTTCAACGTAAATCAGACGTAAATAAGGGAGTTACTGAATCGCTTTTACTCTTGACATTTTATAGCATTTTTTAGTCTTGTGAAATGAACGGCGAAAAAGAAAATACGAATGCAGTTAACATGTTTTTCTTCAATATTTGGCAGACAATACACGTTGAAATTTACACTGAGATATTAGCAGGGGCTTACATCCAGCCTGCTCGATCATAAAATACAAACAGTTTATAAGCTGCACCTACCTTGGTCGTAACCTCCTCCTCGTACTCGATCTCAAGTCCAGCCTCTAGTAGATTTTGCCGAAATTTTTCCCGTTTTTCTGCTTTTTCGCTTAGCTCTTCTTTCGCGTTTTCTTTCAAATCGTCTTCGTTCGACGGCGTCTCGTACACAATCACATAGTCGATCAACCTCTTGCCATCACGAAAGCACAGCCGTTCCTTCTCTTTCTTTTCGACTTCGACGTGTTCCAACTCGATCTCCAGGGTCTTCTCCTCCATCATCTGGTGTTTCGACAATACAGCTTCCTCGTCTAACAGCGGTGTTTGATCGGCAGAATCACCCTGCCGCCTGGAAGCTTCACTTTGGCTAGCTGCTGGAACTCGAGCGCGCAAACCGCTTGCACTGGCCATGGGGTGTGACAAAATAGAACAAATTTTAAAATAGTTAATTTTAAACTAGGATATAAGACCCGCCACAGAAAAAAATAACTCAAATTACTCGTGACATGTATAGCGGTTGAATGTCATGTGCTGCAGACTGCATATCATACAGCGTAACGCATGGGTCATTGAATGTGCGCGTGATCTTTACCATGACCAATATGCAAATTTAAATGAAAATTATGATGGAATGGACTCTTGGAATGGATTACCCTGATGATTTTGCTGTGTGGGCCAATCGTTCTCTCTTGGCGGCATAAATGTTTGGCAGTCGAGAAGAAAGACAGAAGTATTTTTTCTTTCTAGTACGTCTACAATGTATTTTACAAGCTTTTAATCGTTATACTTAAAAAATCTCACCTTTTGTCCGGAGACTTAGGGGTTGAAGTTTCTCCAGGTGTCATTGCGTTCATATTCTCGTCAACCGCTTCAAGATTACCCGTCTTCTGATGATTATACTGACTACAAAGACAACAATCGTTTACGAAAACTGGGAAAACGAGTGTATGTAAGTCATTTGGTTTCAGTTGAGCAGTTTTACTTACAAGATCTTGAGAGCTTTCTCAGGCATATTTCTGTTCTCGTCTAAGGCACCATACGAAAACATTATTTCGTTCCTATGTAAAATGAATCAAAGAAAGGAATAAGCAACAGAAATTAAAAATCAGCAAAGTTTATTTTAAAAAAATGGTTTCAATTCCGTTTAATTCAACTAATGGCTGATTCTGAAAGGATGACGAAACCATAAGCAATGAACAACTCAGTTGAGTTTCGAAATCTCGCCACCCGATTAGAGGCGGTAAAAGCGATCGAAGATAGCGGAACCTGTTCCTCTGCTTAGATGTTGGATGTAGTTTCAAATTGTTACACAGTTTTCCGTAACTGTAGACCGTACAAGTGGAGGTTGAACTGACTGGGGAGTTGTACAGCTGTTCATTGAATTTTTCGGTGTACATGGTGTACGTTTTACCAAAATCTCACTGAAAATAATGGAGGCAACGTTTATGGTTTGCAACGAAAATTCATCTTAACTTACCTGTGGATAAGTTTCTTTTTCTCCATTAAACACAAGCTGCTTTGAATTTGGAACAGCTTGGTTCTTCTTAAGGTTGTTCAACAACATTCGGTCCAACTTAGTTCACTCGTAGAATCACATGTGATAGCAGAAGCTCTAGAAAACTAAATTCAATCAAAGATATTTGACCGGTCATTGTTACGCGAAGAATTCACCTGTATGTGAATATTTCGCGTAAAAATGAGCCAATCAGATTCGGTAAAATAAAAGAAAAATAAATCGTGGAAAACGAAGTATGTCATGAATGATGGTGCACACAAGTCCAGTACACTGTTTATAATTTCACTCTTAACAACAACCACAACAAAAACTTTTGCAACAAAAGCTCTTGTGCATGTACGGTTTAATTTTAATTGTACACGTCTACATTTATGGTCAGTCGATTATGAATGTCGAGACTTTAGACAATTCTACATATCGCATTTTTATTTCAATCAGGAATATTAAACTACTGACTGAGGCCTCCATCGACGAACTAAATACGTTGCAGCAAGAATTTGCGCTCGAAAGCGCTTTTTCTCACCCTTGATCAGTGGCCAAAGTCAAACCAGTCAGATTAGTCATACTTTTATGTGAGATCATGGACGCTTTCCTTTCAACTAAAAATTCCTGAACATATTGAAATAGAGGCAAACAGCAAATGGTACAGAAATTTCTAGGCGATGGAAGATATCCCAAATTCGAAAATTGTTGATGAATTTCCAACCATTCAATAAGGCACTGGAAATTTTGGGAAATTCAAACCGGAACTTTTGTTCGAATACAAGTCTCAGTTCATACTACACGGGAGAAATTTGAAAACGCAACATTCACCGGTCATTTTGGATATGTGCTGGAGGAAAACTCGAGCATGTAAATCTCGTCATTATCGTGATGTCATCGTTTTCGAAAAGCTCCCGCCGTTTTCGTGGAGGATTAGTTTGGATGGTAGGCCTAACCGCGGTGTGGACGGGGCCTAAAGCGCCCTTGTCGACCAGTTTCGTCCCCAGAGCCCGCTCGTTTTCGATCATCGGCAACCGAACGTCCGACGCTCCGGTTGCTGTTGTTGTTGTTGTTTTTTTTATAGATCGACAACATTTTGCTCTCAAAGCTAAGTAGTTGCCGATAAGTAACTCCCTTGCCTGTCGCTGAGTAACCTATTGCGATTTGCTCATGCCTGGTAATAATGCAACAACTAGAAACCTTTCTTACTAACATTTAATGATTTTCATTTATAGACATCTCATTATTACATTATTATCTTAATTGTATTATATTTAGACCTCAAAGGCGTCAGATATGCTAATGTACCTAAAGTCAGCAAAAAAAGTACTTCCAGGTCATCATGAACACGTGTAACTGACTAGACAATTATCAACTCAATATTTGCCACCCACAAAGCCATTCTCTGTTAAGGGTTGTCCAATAGACCTTAAGGTGGTACCGGAGGCTCGTTTGGCCGATTTTGGGAAGTTTTTTTAGGGCTGTATCAGAAACAATTAATGAGAGTGAAGTCGTTTCCACATGACTCCACTTTGTCGAGTCGTCTAACTTTAAAGATGTCGCCATTAACCGAAAGTTAGCTCGTCGTATTTTACTAACCGGAAGTCATACTATGTGATCATGTATAAAGAGGAAGAAAGGGTAGGAGGTGACAAGTCAACACGAGTACACATGGTTCGCCGAACTCACGACTGGTGTTGGTTTTGCGCCTAATATGCCATTTCCGAGTTACCTTCTGCTTCTGTGTCATAATGACTCTTCGTGCGAAATCATTCATATGAATGGTTTGCACGGACTCGTTTTGCAAAAAGAAAAGCGATTCAGTTTCGGCAGTTAGAGCAGGTTTTTAATTGAGTGGCTAAGTCAGAACCAAAGCAATTGTAACCACCCATCACAACAAACGGAAACACCGTAATGAAACAGGTAGAACTCAAAGCAAATAAATACGGCACGTGGTGGCCTCCAAGCGCGTGACAAATAGCCTTTTCCACGGTTAGCTTTGCTTATTTACATTACAATGTAATCCCACGTGGATGCGCATTTTCGTTGAATTATATTGTCATGCAAATGAGGAAAGTTGCCCGTGAAAAGGGCTATCCTGTATTAGTTTAGACAATTTGGTATCTTATTGGTTGAAAACAAGGCGCAAGTTGATTTTTGAATTAATCGGAAAAGGTTGAATCAGAAAAGAAATACAAAACAGAATGAGATTATAACTGTAAACTGGAAATAGCTTTAACTCAGTCTCAATGAAATATTCCTTTGTAAGCCGCGGCGTTATCATAAAATTCTGAAACGCAAATCTCACTATTAAATTTCTTCTCCATTTCATGCTGTAATCATATTCTATGTATACTAAGTTTGCTTCCGCCAACATTTGAGTTCCTGGATCTGTTGACATTCTCACATGACATGTAAAGAGAGTTCGCAGAACCGGCAGTGTGTGGCTCGCGAGCGTGCAATTCACGTGACGCTTCAGCCTCGCTTGCAGTCAGACAGGCCCTGGCAACGAAATTTTCCCGCTTTATTTTGACTTCAAGTTTGCGAGGGACATCGGGAATGAGCCAGTCCAGGAAACCAACGGTGAAGAACACAAAATATTGAAAGATGATGATAAAACCCAGTCGAACAGCAAGCACGAAGAAGTATTGGCGGTTGAAATCGTAAGGCTCGACGGGATCAAAGTACTCCTTGTATCTGTAAAAACCAAAAACAAATAAGATACATTGTAACAACTGAAAGGTCATCCACATTGCGGGGATAGCAAACATGGGCTAAGATGGACTATTAGCTTTAAAATCGATCAATATAACGTTTTTTTTTTTTTGTTTTGTTTTTTTTCCAACAGAAAACGCATGTATCGCTGCATGCTGTTTTACCATCCCCGTCTGTATGTACGATAAATTTCGGAAGTGGTCAAGTTGTAAAATAAGAATTTTTAGCTTTAACAGTTTTCTTGTCAGAAAAGTATTTGAAAGGGCTCAATGCCTGAAAACTGAAAATTTGTTCGGAGCAAGTAAATAACTAATCTTTAAATTTAAGGCGGATTTTATCGGCGGGACTGAAGGCGATCGGTCTGCTTTAAACAGGAATAGCGCTGCAACTGAATTAAACGGATGTTTTTCTTTTTCCTTTGGAAAACGTCTTTCTTTTTCTTGGCAATAAAAGAATTAATCAATCTCAATAACTTTAATGTAAATATTCCACTCCATGGCCGGTAAGGCTGTGTTATTTACTGACCTGCAGTAGGACTTGTTATAAGGTAAATTTTTGAAAGGGTCCCGAGGCAGGGCCATTTTACTGAAGTCTTTAATGTTGAAGTAAGATAAGCTGTTATTGACATAACCAGTCAAACTTCCATCAGGGCTGTACGCGTATTTGTAGACTTCCCTAAGAAACAAATGACAGTGACAAATAGAACTTAGTATATAGTTATTTATTTAAAGAAAACACCAATAAGACAATGAAGGAAACAATAAAGAAATAAACAAAACGATAGAGCAGCTACTCCCAAGAATTTTTGTCAGGTTTTTTTTTTACACAGATATCTCGATCCCCATTTGTACACTTGGGTCGAGAGAGACATTGTGAGGGTAAAGGGTCCTGCACGATGGCGACAATCGTTGAACACGATTTTCTCAGCGAGGGGCCCGTTTCTCGAAAGCCATTGTAGTTCATTTGTATCTAAAAACAGAGAGGTGTATACTCCTGAAACTTCTTGTATGGAGGGAAACCTCTGAATATTAGACTAAAACAGCTCTGTAATCAAAAGGCTTGAGATTTTGCTATGGCTTCCCGGGTGCGAAAACGTTTCGGAACCTTCGAGAAATGGGCCCCAGGACTCATAACCAGATCACACTGCGATTCTCGCTAACAACATACATTGTAAGGCGTGTTTGATTGAAATTTACCTCGGAATGAACTCAGAAGTAAAGGCGATTACAAACGAGTTCACTAAAACGGCAAACCAACTCATCGAACGAAGAATTCCAAACCAGATTCCAATCCCTTGAGCCCGCTCTGCTATCGGTCGGCGGAAATTCACCGCAAAGTTAATAGCATCTATCCGAAGTTCCAGGATGTTGTTGATAAGTGCGAACAAAGGGGCCAGCGGAAAGGCTGCGACGAACATCGTAACAAAACCAAACTGGATAACTAAAAAATACCTTAAAAATAAGTGTTGTAATAGCTGAGTGCCCTGCGAGCAGTTGGTTACTCCTACGCCGAACGAGAGAGAAACCACTGCAAGCAATAAATTTTGCATTCTTTGGACCGGCGTTGTACAAGCATTTCTTGGGAACAAATGGAATCGACGTCAAATGCATCACGTGGGACGTGACGAACTCGCGTATGCTCAATGGAAAAGCACACTTGCTCGCAGTGGATTCTCTCTCGTTCGGCGTAGGAGAAACCAACCGCTCGGAGGGTACAGCTGAGTGAAATATTTACAGCATAATAAATGTATGAAATCAGTTAACTATGTTAGCATTTTGAGGTTGGAGCAAGTTAGGCCAAAACGTGTTTTAACGAAAAATAAAATTCCAACAATTGACGAAAAACGCACCTTCCCTGCGCCTGAGATGCAATCTTAATTTATACTTTGGCCTCAAGTCTACGCACGACTATTGCTTCATTAACAACCACATTGACTTCATTCAGGTATCTTCTCGGAAAATAATTGATCGATTCACGATTTCTCCCAACAGGAGCAGAAGTTACGACATGACGTACACGTATAAAGGCTTGACATTCTACCGTGTAAAGTTACGAGCAACTTGTGGAAACTTTCCCACATTCTGCCAAGGCCATTTTTCAGGGCTGTAGCCAAAAAAAAATGACTGTGGCAACGTCCATGAACAAATTATGACTGAGGCACTGTCCACGGTTAAATTCTCTTCCTGGGTATTCAGGGTGTTTGAGATGACTTTCTGAAACTCGTTAATAATTCACCAAGTTAAAACAAAGAAAATCACAACCGTGAAGGAGGTTTGGATACCCGGTCTTAATTAGCATAGATTTTGACGATTTTATACTTTACCGTTTACTTCTTAGTTTTTTGTTTCGATTGAGAAAATATATCAAACACTCGAGACAGTGTTTCATCGGCTATTCAAACACCTCGAATTTCGTCAAAAATACTCCGCTGCGCGTCGTACCGTATTTTCAACTCTCTTCTGTGTGTTTGGATATCCCAATGAAAAACTGTCTCTCGTGTTTGATATATTATATAAGTGTTAAAAACGAAAAAAAAGATGACTGAGGCCTCGGTTTACCTGTTACTAACTAAGTCCCTGTTTTGTCAGTGAACGAAAGTGTTAACAAACAAAAGTACGAATCGAACTAAACGAAGTGGCGAATTATTTCCCGTACCCATGTCATGGTATTCATAGAACATTCTTAGCTGATGTTCACTGTTTAGGAGATAGTCTGTTTCCCACTGGGTGGGATGCACGATCTTCTCGGCGCTCTTGCGGCCGTTCCACCAACGTAGCAAAGACCTAACAATGAGGACAACGCAATGAAGAATATAAGTGATCGATCAAAAAGAAACGTCGATATATTACGAAGGAGACAAATTTTAAGGAGCTACGTCACGGTTTGTACATCTTAAAAAGTTTAGGCATAACTTCTCAATTTCGTCGTTTGTAATCCGTGTTAATCTTCTCCATCCTTAATCATGCTAACCATGTTTGTTCCTTAATGGTTTAATATTATCTCTTTGGCGCATTTCTATATCTTAGTAAACTACTATTTTCAGGTTTCCTTCCATTTAAAGGTAATTTTGTACGCGGCCAAAATAACTCAAAATGCTGTGTCTGAACTCCTTTAAGAAAAGCGCGCGCAGGAAAGAGTAATACTTACGGTACTGCAAACTTGGAAATGGAATTGATGAACTGTTTTCCCACCATGATAACAGCCAACTGAATGCACAGCTCAATGAAACATCCTGAAGGATCACAGCCTTCCATTCGTCCTCCGGCAATACGATTGTAATTCCCAGGGTAACCTATGATATGACTGTTCTTAAAGAACGCTATGTAAAACAACGACGAGTACATATTCACGAACTGGAATGAAAATAGTTTCAGTGTTAAGATGTTATGATACTCTGTTCTGGTTCGTGGCGTTTCCCACTCTGTGAGCGCAACAGCGATCTTCTCATACACCAGACCCAGCACTGTGATAGCCAGGAGATTGAGCACGGACGCGGTCAGTGAGGTAATTATGCGCGCGCCCTGTTGCACGTCTTCATCAGGATACGCCGACAACACCGCAACCATGGCGGCCCGGTAGATCACAACTCCCACCAAAGTAGCAATCACTAGCAGCACCATGAACGAAACGATCATAAACCCGCAGGTAAACTTTCCCGCGCGTAGCGAAAACGGGATGTAAGGCTCGAGTTTTCCAGTGACGGGGTTTGGTTTCTTGTTCTGGGCTTTGGTGACAAAAGCCGGGCGTGGAGGTTCGAACTCTTCCTCAAAGTGCAACATGTCCCACTCGTAAGCCAAGCTTATCTGACGCCTCCGCCACACCTCCAGAAACACCGTTGCCCAGAGTGACATAAAAACAGCGAAAAACACCGTCCCCTCGTGATCAAACAAATGAGTGACTTTGGCGTAATCACAGCTCTTTGTTAGCGTCCAATAGCTGCAGTCTTTGTCGCACAACGGACACATGTAAAACAACTGCGAATTATTTTTATCACAAATTTCTTTCACAGGTGTAAAAGTCCTCACTGTTATGAGGCCAGCCACAAAGCACCACAAGCCAACCAAAGCAGCAATTACAAGCATGAAATTGTAAGTTCCTAGCCAAGCAAAATAAAAAGCCACCCGAGTTCCAAAGTACTTCTTCACCGCAGTCAAGGGCTGATATTTGTACCACTGGCTAAAAGAAGCCCAGTTCCTGCACAGACGTTGTCTTTCGTTTTCCGTCGCACCATCTTCGTTTTCTTTCCGAAGATCTTCGTGCAAAGGATACGCAACTGTGTAAGCCCCTTTGTAGAGCAGACGAGAGATTCCGAAGTCGTCCATTTCTGATGAATACTTCGTCGAGAGAAGTAAGCGATGTGTCATTCGACTTCGGTCGATGTCGGAGAAAAAAGTTTCCCTGTCCTCTATGAGAAAGCAGTCACTCTTTGCTCTGCTGAAAAACGCCGTGACTGGCCGCTCGGTTTTCCTGTCGGAGTCATCCTGAACTTGAAAGATATTGAGGACATTTTTAGCCTTTTTCAGCCATCTTTTCTTGCTGGAGGACTTGAAACGGGTTCCTTGGTGCTCCGCGCTAACAGGCACACGGATCATCATTTCCTCTGCGCACTTGGCCAGCACGTCCCATGGGGCATGAATAAGGACAAACACAACATTCTCCTGTATATAGTGAAAGAAAGCCTTATATTTATGTGTCCACCGGGACTAGCGTATCGGGGTACCCGGTCACTCCCCCCTCCTCCGCTCCTGTCCCTAGTCCCTATTTTTTAAGGAAAAAAAAAAAACGGGCAACCTTCCCTGTTTATAAAGGATATACGCTTTGGAAATCTTTAGCGTTCTTGACCGGCGTTTCTTTTATGGCATTTCTCAAAATGTTTTGCTCGACATCCTTTCAAGCGCTTAGTTTCAAAAGGAAAAACTGGAAAAAGGTAATTTCAAGTGATCTCGCTGCGACATCAGAAGCGAGAGAAATGTAAAGAATTGAACGCACTCACAAGTCCACTGAAACACTTGATTTTCACAGGTACACAACAAATTGCACAGGTGCAAAATTCTTAATATAAACAATAGAATTTCTCTGTCATCATTTATAACATAGTACTTTGAACAACATACGATGTGTTCAAATCTGTTTCCCAAGTGCAATTTAAATCGCTTTAGCATTATAAAAATAGAGTTTGCATGCAAAGCGTCCATTGAATGTGTCGGGCAAGTCTAAACCAATACGAAAACAAAATTGACAGGTTCACAGCTGGTTTACAAACCTGCTCGTCCGATGTTACATGCTCTACCATCAGTCCTTGTTTTTTGAGATTTTCTTCGTATTTCTCCCTAATCTCTGCTTTTTCTTTTTCTTCTTCGTCATTTTCTTTACCCGACTCCGGCTCAGAATAAACCAGCACATAATCAATCTTCTGCAGCAAAGAAATACAGAATTCAATTAGCCGGCAATGATTACTTACATATTCTCCTATGGCATCGTCGAGAGTAAAACATGCAGGCAGCGTGGTGAGAACATGCGCTTTGATCACATATGTTTTGACGCGATGTAGAGCTTATGTGGCGGCCGATATTTCTTCCAGTGCTAAGTATATTTTGTCCTCTGTATCATAACATCATGAAAAGTGACAGTGTTCACAAAACTAAAGCTGTTCATATATTGAAAGAAAGTTTTAGTTAAATTTTCCGGCCAAGATAGTGCACTTTTCACGTACAGTTTTCTTGCACTGAAAAGCGCGTTTAGCCTGACTGCTACACCAAAATATTTATAACACAGTTCCTCACCTTGGTTGAAATTTCATTTGCATTTACAGATCTCGTACTCTCTTTGCTTCTGTTCTGTAAAAGAATTTCTTCCATGGCCGACGGTTTCCCGCTCTTAGAAATGTTATCAAGGTTGATTTCCGAAGAACTTATCGCAGCGACATAACTGTCGCGTTTCTGCGAATTTTGACTCCAACGAAGTGTAGCGTTCCTGCCTTCAGATTTGTGGGACGCCTTTAAGATTCCATCCCCTGTGGTTTTAGTGGGCACATGACTTATTTCTTCAGCTTTATCGTTTGGCCTTGGTCGTGAAATCGGATCACTGAAAATGAAACAATTTTGTTTAGTCAAGTGGTGCGTAAGCACTCAACATTTAACCCACCAATCGGCAAACAGACAATAATATCAAAACTCGCCTTACACTTCAAAACAAAATAGCGTTGTCTAAATGAAATACGCACAGGTTGAGTAATAATTACATGGTGGAATGCAGGTGGCTAACCGCTGGGTTTTTTTTATGTGTGTGTGGGAGGCTTTGCAAATACATGTATCCCTTAATTACTGGATTACCCCTGAACTCGCTTTTTTCAAACTAACAGCCATTTTCTTCCACCGTTTGAAAGGAAGGACTTTATATTAGCATCAACTGCCGTGGCTTGACGGTACCTAAGCTCGTCTATAAATATATATATATATATTTTTTTTTTTTCAAGACGCTTTTATTTGATATTCCCCATTCCTTGTTTCTTATTCTAAAATGTACCGTGCAATTTTTCGGACCTCAAGTGTAGTTGATCAGAGAGATATACTTCTAAAGAGGCCATAAGTTAAGTATTCCATCTTCAAAATTATTTCCTTTTCAAAATTATAAACATTGATTTGTTCAGAACAGTCGTGTTTAACCAAACTTCTCGCCTTCCTGAAGTGACTCGAGTTGTACAGCACAATTGATTACATTAGTTCAATGTAAGAAATGTACGAACATGTACACTAAATTTCAAATGTCCGCACTGAATCGAAGCTGCTGAAACCAACTTACCTTCCAACAAGACAAAACACTCTTGAATTGTCCATTCCTTATAGTCCCAAAGGGAGGCAAGTAATAGATCTTTGTAAAATTTCGATTTCGCAATCAGATTATAATTACGTAGAACTGGATTTGCATTGTTAATAAGTAGTTGGGAGCTAATTAATTCAGGACAGAACAATAATTTACACGTCAATGCCTGGAAAAAGACAGAAAGCTGTCTGGTGTTTGATTGATTGAATACTACCTGTTAAAGATACCTTTTTACGGCGAATGGCGCATAAGATAAAGGAATAAGCATCGTTACACTATTTTCTATTCATTTTTCTTGCTTTTTTTTTATAATATTGTTTTCCCGGCCCAGGCTCGATATTTAACAAATTGACGTCAGTTTTTTATGCGTCTGTCCTGTTATTGATCATGAGTTCGTCATAACATTGTCAAAGTAGCTGTGGATCCACGAGGCGAAAGCCGCAGCACAGATCTAAGCAATAGAGCACTTTTTCCGTGACTGCATAGCCTCATCTAAACACGAGCAGGGTTGGGAGAATTCGAGATAGTTATGCAAACCCGAGACGTAGTTGAGGGCTTGCATAACTTTCAAGACTTCTCCCAGCCCCAGAGTGTTTAGATGAGGCTATGTAAACATGGAAAAAGTACTCTGCTACTTTTATAACATAATTCTCAAAAATTAAATAGGCGCGAATCTATAACGTCACAACCGTGTTTCCATACTCTCATCTAAACACACCTATCGACCAATAAGAGCGCGCGTAGTAGCTCAGTTATTTTATTAAGCCTGATATGACACAGATAACTTCTTGCAGAAATTTAATTAGCATCGGACCCACGACTAGTGTTACGTTGTTGTTCAGTGTTGTTGTTGTTTTGCCGTTTAGAAAAGGGACGAATTTTATACTGTTTAGTTAAAAACCTATAATTGCATTGTAGATACAAAATATCCATAAAACTTCCTAAATTTCAGCTTCGATATGGCTTATAAAATATATTCTTAATTTATATATCTTTAAAAAAGTGTATTATTTTTGAGGCATTTTTGTCGCATCCGCCTTTTTTTTTTTCTTTCACTCATATTGAACATTTCGCATGAGAATCCACCGCTAAGAACTGATTTTCTCCATAAAAAGAAATAATCAATATTGTGAAAGTCAAGAAGATACATTTATGTGTGGTTTAGGCAAAACCAGTACTTCATCAAACTACTTCTCCTAGACACATCTCAATGAATGACGTCCCCAAATACCTGGACAAAAATTGCGTCAAACAGCGAACAAGATAACTTTTAATTAATCAAAAATTGCCCAGTTTATGCATCTCTCACTGGCTCGGGGCTAGTGCATCCTTTGCAGGAAGTGAATATTGAGAAAGTTAGTGTGCGAGAAAACAGTGACATTGAGATTTGTGGCGTGACTTCGTTGTTTATTAACAGCGTATGACAGCTGATTGGAAAAAAAATATGGTCGGTTCAAAGGGTCGTTTTATGTAATATTGTGGGTCCACATGTCGACACATCGGATTAATTTAGTTCACACTATAGTTGTAATAATAGAATAATCAAGATGCTCGCCGAATAATAAGGAGATCAGACTTAAGCAACGACAACGACGACGTCGAGGACGACACCTAGTCGAGAATTAAATGCTCAGGCTAAATATGCAATGACAGCGTTCAATTCCAAATGGAAATACGAAAAATTAGCCGTCACCGGTCGCGTAACTCAGACTACGCAGAATTTGGTCATATCGTGTTGTTGTTTTGCAGAGGACGCCAGCGAAATGTACAAAGAAGTATAACGCGCGTGCAGCCATTGTTTTGCTCATTACATCTTGTGTTTAATTTGGTTGTGTTCTCGTTGCCGTCGTTGCCATCGTCGTCGTGGTTTGCTTAAGCTCCCTAATGTTGGACATGAAACCTCGTGCGTCGCCATGAGATTCACAGTAATTTCGAAAACGTTTTTCAGCGCATTCAAAAACCCAGACAAACCAGAAGTTGGTCACAGTGAAGTTCAGAGTCTTCAAACTTCTTCCCCTTGGATGAAAGCGAAAAATTACACATTTATTACTATTATTTTTCTTTTTAAAAAATAGTGACTTTGAAGAAAGCCTTAATGGCGACTAGCTGAATTAAAGTAAATCACAGGTCGAATTCATCGTGTCCGAAATAAAGAAAAGGTTGAATATCTGTGCAATCTCTTCACAATATAAGCTTATTGAAAGCCGTGCAATGACCATTCTCGCAACTAATAGCGCGTACATATTTAAGATTGCTGTGGATATTACCGCTTTATAAAATTGTTATTTTCGAAATTGAATCACGTACTAATAGTTCCTCTTACCTTGAGCCTTCCTACAGGTGCAAAGGAGCGAGAAAATAAGCTGGAAGGGCTTTTTGTGAAATTAATACGGTATTCCTCACATGCCGCAACACATTGACGAGACAACACATGAGCAGTGATTGACAGGAGACTGGGATGAGGTCAATAGGCTAATACCCCACAGTGCACCTTTGGCGTAGAAGGAGTGCGTTCAGCGGAAACCCCCATGAGTAAGGAAATCCAACATGGCGGCTTCTTTTAGAAAGGTGCGCTACGGCTGTTTTTTTCGCCATTTCAACGATTCTGGACGACGTTTATGGCACGGATTTGTCGCAAGAAACACGCTGAGAACTAGTGCCTTCCATTCATATTCCAAATCTTTACCACTCATGGCGAAAAAGTGGAATGATTCGGGACCAACTCGTGGTTTGGCTAAACCTCGACCACTCGCTCATTCATTTCGTGGGGATAGAATAGGTTCAACGTCACATTCTAAGGACAGTAGGTATAGAAGAGAAGAGACAGAGCTCGATTCCGACACAGAGACAGAAAGTGAGGACGAAGAAGACTTGAGCGGTAAATCTTGGAAATCAAAAAAGGGATCTGGGAAGTCTAGGAAGTTCAAAAGTCAGAAATCTGTTGGAAATGTCACTTTGAGTCCTTCCAGATATCTGTTTAAAGACTTTCTACCGGGGCACGGGGAAGTAAAGCGATGGGAACGAAGGTATGCTTCAGAGCACAGAAAAGGAAAAGTGAATTGGTATGCGAGGCAAATGCTACGCCTTACTCAAGAGGGCAAGGTGAGGAAGAGTGTCATAAACCTCTACACCTCACAGTTATTTATCACATAGCGTTATTTTGTTTGCCCTGAGGGACTAGCACTAACAGAATTGAAAAAAAATGTTTTAATATCAGCATACCCAGGACTGTTCTCCAAGCCCCAAACAAATGTGGAGAAAATCCCAACTTGAAGGGGGCAGACAAGTTGGTTCTTTACAAACATGGCTACAGAGCTGAACTACCACAGATAATGGTCATAATGGGAGTTGAAGCTGCGAGGTCTATATTTTACTCCCAGCACACTTAACACTTGGCCACGCACACAGTCACAACAATAGCATAAGACTGACAATTTCTCCAGTATTCAGTCTGTTAAGCAATGTGCAGCATACATGAAGTATTAGTGTTAACCCCGAGAAAGGTCACTGAAAGTACCAGGGTGGAAGCTAGAATTTTTTGAAGAAAGGATGAAACTACATGTATACTCAGTCTCTGTTTTTTCAATATCCCCTGCCCCCCGCCTGTTTATTGGACAAATAGAGATTTGAAATATTACATATTTTATTCTACATGTTATCAGATTGATGAAGCCCTTAATCTCTTAGCATCTATGAAAGCAAACAAACTTCATCCTCCTGTAGAGGTTTACAACATCTTCATTTCTGCATATGCCAAGAGAGGTCAAGTCAGGAAAGCTTTTAAGATTTTCAATGACGTAAGTAATCATTTAATATATAAGCAATGGAGCACTTTTTCCATGTTTACATACTAAGCCTCATCTAAACAAGAGGAGGGTTGGGAGAATTCAAGACAGTTGACCTGCATATTAACTTTCAAGAATTCTCCCAGTCCTGTAAGTGTTTAGATGAGGCTATGTAAACACAGAAAAAGTGCTCTATAGACCCTTTGCATACATGGTGCCTATATTTGAGTAACAATACTTATACACCCTTAGCCTCACATTCATGTAAAAAAATCCTTTGTCTTGAAACATTAGTATGAGGCTAGGGATGTATAAACTATTGTTATTCAAATTTAGACACCATTTATGCAAAGGATCTATTACTGCCACAAAATAATTCTCAAAAATATGCATGAACCTAAAATGTCACAACTGCGTGTCCATACTCTTATCTAAAAACACCTATCGACCAATGAGGGTGCAGGTAGTAACTCATTATTTTAAAGATAAGTGTTGTATTATGTTTTAGTATGGCTGATTACGTATCCTGAGAGAATGGCTCCGGTATTTAAAGTACATTGTGCTTCTGAGTGTTTCAGTGCCAATGTAGAAATTTATAAATGGTTTTCAGTTGGTTTTTGGTTTATTAATAAAATTTCAATTTTAACTTTGTGTTAGTTGGGTATATTTACTAATTAAGAACAATAAAGTGTAAAAAAAGAACCATTTTCTTAAGTCAATATTTTTTTAATGGATAATTTTATAGATTGTAACCAAGCAAAGTAATTTTGGCTTTAAGTAAAAATATCACTGAAAATGAATGTTTTCTTATTGTTCAGGTGAAGAAGAGAGGCCTGACACCTACAGCTCACACCTTCTCCAGCTTGTTCAGTGCTTGTACGAAGGCGTCAACTCCACAGCATGCTTTACGCCATGTAGAAAAGCTTCTGGCTGAAATCAGAAAAAGGACTGCAAACCAGGACTTAGAAATGAATGTCATCACTTATAATGCCGCTATCCAGGCTTTAGTTATTTGTGGTGACCCCCTCCATGCATTTGACATCTACCAAGAAATGCAGGACAACAATGTTGAACCAGATGGCCACACCTTTTCGTCATTATTGGCTGCCTGCTCGTTTGATAAAGTTGAAGGACCTAGCACAGCTTTTAAACTTCTTGAAGAAATGAAATCTCTTCAGATACAACCAGATATTTATATTTTCAACTCAGTGTTAAAGGTGATGAGAGATTTTAAAGTTTCTACTGAGGAGAAAAGGTCACAATTGTTTAAGTCTATGCCAAGTGCTGATGTTACAGAAGAAAGTTCATGTGTGCATGATCCAATGTATCCTCTTGATGAAGAAACATCAGAAGGTGAAAGTAGCGAACTGCATTCTGAAGAAAGTGTTTTACAAGAAGGGCACAACAATGACAATGATTTACAGTTGCACCATTACTTTCCCGGTGTAGAAGAGTTTGTTCAGATGATGGCTGTTGAAAATGTGTCTCCTGATGTACGGACCTTTCACCTGCTTCTTTACATGACGTCATCAAAAGAAGAAGAAGATTACTTGATGGAGCTGATGAAAAGCTGTAACATCTCTCCTGATGCTACTTTCTATAACACTCTTATCAAGAAGAAAGCAGCAAAGGAGGGTGTAGAGGAGGCAAAGGTATCAAAGAAATGCATGTATCTGATTGTAATAGAATTGAACATCTGAGTAGTGAAAAAACAATGTTATACTGTCTCTTGTTTAGTATGTAATTATATATCAAATACGAGTGAAAGTGTTTCATCAGGATATCCAAACACTGAGAAGAGAGTTGAAAATGACGACGCGCAGCAGGGTATTTTTGACACAATTCGAGGTGTTTGGATAGCCGGTGAAACACTGTCTTGAGTGTTATATATGTCTTCTCAATCGAAACAAAAGCTGAAGGAGTACACGGAGAAGTAAAATCTTCAAAATCTATGCTAATTAAGACCAGACATCCAAACCTCCACGTTTGTGATTTTCTTTGTTTTAACTTGATGAATTGTTAATGTGTTTGGGAAGTTCATTTGACTACCTCTTGACGTAGGTGTGCGGCCTATGNTTTTTTTTTTTCAAGACGCTTTAATTTGATATTCCCCAATCCTTGTTTCTTATTCTGAAAATGTACCGTGCAATTTTTCGGACCTCAAGTGTAGTTGATCAGAGAGATATACTTCTTAAGAGGCTACAAATTAAGTATTTAATCTTCAAAAGTATTTCCTTATCAAAATTATAAACATTGATTTGTTAAGAACAGTCGTGTTTAACCAAACTTCTCGCCTTCCTAAAGTGACTCGAGTTGTACAGCACAATTGACTACATTAGTTCAACGTAAGAAATGTACGAACATATACACTAAATTTCAAATGTCCGCACTGAATCGAAGCTGCTGAAACCAACCTACCTTCCAACAAGACAAAACACTCTTGAATTGTCCATTCCTTATCGTCCCAAAGGGAGGCAAGTAATAGATCTTTGTAAAATTTCGATTTCGCAATCAGATTATAATTACGTAGAACTGGATTTCCATTGTTAATAAGTAGTTGGGGGCTAATTAATTCAGGACAGAACAATAATTTACACGTCAATGCCTGGAAAAAGACAGAAAGCCGTCCGGTGTTTGATTTATTGAATACTACCTGTTACTTCGCAATCAGATTATAATTACGCAGAACTGGATTTGCATTGTTAATAAGTAGTTGGGGGCTGATTAATTCAGGACAGAACAATAATTTACACGTCAATGCCTGGAAAAAGACAGAAAGCCGTCTGGTGTTTGATTGATTGAATACTACCTGTTAAAGATACCTTTTTACGGCGAATGGCGCATAAGATAAAGGAATAAGCATCGTTACACTATTTTCTATTCATTTTTCTTGCTTTTTTTTTATAATATTGTTTTCCCGGCCCAGGCTCGATATTTAACAAATTGACGTCAGTTTTTTATGCGTCTGTCCTGTTATTGATCATGAGTTCGTCATAACATTGTCAAAGTAGCTGTGGATCCACGAGGCGAAAGCCGCAGCACAGATCTAAGCAATAGAGCACTTTTTCCGTGACTGCATAGCCTCATCTAAACACGAGCAGGGTTGGGAGAATTCGAGATAGTTATGCAAACCCGAGACGTAGTTGAGGGCTTGCATAACTTTCAAGACTTCTCCCAGCCCCAGAGTGTTTAGATGAGGCTATGTAAACATGGAAAAAGTACTCTGCTACTTTTATAACATAATTCTCAAAAATTAAATAGGCGCGAATCTATAACGTCACAACCGTGTTTCCATACTCTCATCTAAACACACCTATCGACCAATAAGAGCGCGCGTAGTAGCTCAGTTATTTTATTAAGCCTGATATGACACAGATAACTTCTTGCAGAAATTTAATTAGCATCGGACCCACGACTAGTGTTACGTTGTTGTTCAGTGTTGTTGTTGTTTTGCCGTTTAGAAAAGGGACGAATTTTATACTGTTTAGTTAAAAACCTATAATTGCATTGTAGATACAAAATATCCATAAAACTTCCTAAATTTCAGCTTCGATATGGCTTATAAAATATATTCTTAATTTATATATCTTTAAAAAAGTGTATTATTTTTGAGGCATTTTTGTCGCATCCGCCTTTTTTTTTTTCTTTCACTCATATTGAACATTTCGCATGAGAATCCACCGCTAAGAACTGATTTTCTCCATAAAAAGAAATAATCAATATTGTGAAAGTCAAGAAGATACATTTATGTGTGGTTTAGGCAAAACCAGTACTTCATCAAACTACTTCTCCTAGACACATCTCAATGAATGACGTCCCCAAATACCTGGACAAAAATTGCGTCAAACAGCGAACAAGATAACTTTTAATTAATCAAAAATTGCCCAGTTTATGCATCTCTCACTGGCTCGGGGCTAGTGCATCCTTTGCAGGAAGTGAATATTGAGAAAGTTAGTGTGCGAGAAAACAGTGACATTGAGATTTGTGGCGTGACTTCGTTGTTTATTAACAGCGTATGACAGCTGATTGGAAAAAAAATATGGTCGGTTCAAAGGGTCGTTTTATGTAATATTGTGGGTCCACATG